TTCCTAATTTGATTTTTTTTTTAATTAAAGGGGCCATCCCTTGACTCACTTCCTAAAGAAGCCTACTCATTGAATGGGCTTTGCCTCACTCAAAGTGAGAACCTGAAAAGACCTTAGCTTAAAAGGGTCAGGGTCTCCCACTGTATCCTGGGCCATCTCCAGTCATCCTGGTGAATATCTGGCTACTGGACCCAAATGGCTCTGGAGGAGAAAGAGAGGCTGGTTACTTTGCACAGGTCTCCCTCCCTCAGATCGAAGTCAATTGCGAGTCATGTCATTATCTCCCTAATGTCATGGTCTTCTTTGAGGACAAACCACATAACCTTTGGAGGATACTATGAAGAATGAATTCTCACTCAGAAATGGTCCTTCCTAATTTCTCATAATTAAGTTTCAGTGGAAGTTAAGCTTCTTCATTTTCAGGATAACATTATGCAACAGTGAGCATAATTTTTTTTTTTAAGACTTGTTAGGCTATGTTGTACTGAACCAAATATAGGTTTCCTACTGTAGGGATATACTTTGTCATGTTAAATTTTTTAAAGTTAGCTTCTCTCAAAGAATGTTTTGGAAGGCCTGTCAGTAAGCTGGGCTTCTTCTGCCTACGATATCATGTTCTGTATTTCAAAACATGACCAGAACCATTCCCTACTAAAATTGGATACTGTCATTTGCAACATTAATCTTCTCCCACTGACTGTATGTGCCCATTGAAATGCAAATATTTGTACTGAGGTTCTTTAAAAAATAAAAGAGCTATTATTCATTGCAATGGATTAATTTTTTTTCCTAAAGGCATAATGAGAAAAAAATCTGATTTGGACAATAGCAACAATTCAAAATGCTATTTATTGGCGGGAAATTCGATTTAAAAAAACATTTCTGTTTCGAGTATCTGCTTTATAAGAAATGACTTTATGATATACCATAAAGGAAGTAAAATGATGAATTTTACCTGGTTAGTAAGATCTGAGCATGGTGAAAGCCTAACTTAATTTAGGCAGCTGTGGCAAATATTGAAGGTATTAGTTTAGATTTTCTAAGGTGAAAATAAGTTCTGAGACAATCTTCATTACTGGAATGCTTGTTGGGTTTCTGAAGCTTTTTAGACTGAGATACAGCTTATCCACCTCACTACAGGTCAGAGAATGATTATACTAGCATAGCTACTTTTATTTCAGTTGGTAAGCTATTTGATTTAGAAAATCTTCAGCTTCGATTATTATCCTTCAGTAAAGGTTATTCGTTTGCTACTTATACCTTATGCATATACACACATGCTCTTTAAAAAATAAGTCATTCAGTAAATCTTTATTAAAGTGTCTATGATGTTTTAGGCACTGTACTAGAAACAGTGATAAAGAGACAAAGTAAAATAGGTGTATACAAAACAGATACCAGATGATTGGGGCAGGAGGCTTAAGAGCTGGAAAGATTGGGGAAGGCTTTTTATAGATGCTTGAGATAAATCTAGAAAGAAACTAGAGAGTCTTAAGAGGTAGATGTGAGGAGGCATAAGAGCCTAGGCTAGGGTATGTTGTGGAGATAAGATTTGGTAAGTGATTGGCAATGTGGGGTAAGTGAGAGTGAGGAGTTGAGGGTAACTCATGTTGCAGGCCTGGGTGACTAGGATGGCATTGCCCTTAAGAGTAATAGGGCTGTTTGAGTGTTTTATTTCTTCTTCTGTTAATCTGGATAATTTATATTTTTTTAGATATTCATCCCTTTCATTTAGAGTTACAAATATTATATTGTCATGTAGAAATATAAGCAGTTTAACCTTATTGAACCTCTCGTGTTTTATCTTTCTTATTTCTTGATTACCCTTTTATGTTTTCCCTCAGTCTTGCATTTGGAGATAAAAATTTTTATTCAGCTCTGGTCTTTTAATTAGAAATGCTTGAAAATCCTCCATTTTGTTAAGTATCCATTTTTTCCCTTGAAGAATTATATTAAGCTTTGCTGGATAGGTGATTCTTCATCGTAATCCTAATTCCTTTGTCTTCTAGAATGTCATATTCTCAGGTCCTCCAGTTTTTTAATGTGGAAGCTGCCAGATCCCTGGGTAATCCTGACTGTAGCACCATGATATTTGAATTGTTTCTTTTTGGCTGCTTATAGTACTTTCTCCTTGATCTGTGAGCTCTGGAATATGGCTATGATGTTCCTGGGAGTTTTCATTTTGGGATCTCTTTCAGGTGGTGATTAGTGAATTCTTTCAATTTTTATTTTGCCCTTTTGTTCTAGTATATCAGGACAGTTTTCCTTGATAATTTCTTGAAAGATGTTGTCCAGGCCTTTAAAAAAAAAAGTAACAGCTTTCAGGTAATTTATTACTTCTTTTTTTTTTTTTGGTGAGGCAATCAGGGTTAAGTGACTTGCCCAGGGTCACATAGCTAGTAAGTGTCAAGCATCTAAGGTTGGATTTGAACTCAGGTCCTCCTGACTCCGAGGCTGGAGATCTATCCACTGCGCCACATAGCTGCCCCATAAGTCATTACTTCTTCAATGATCTCTTCTAGATCTACTTTCCAAGTCAGTTGTTTTTCTAATGAGAAATTTCACATTTTCTTCAGTTTTTTAATTTTTTTAATTTTGTTTTATTGTATTTTGATGTCTCATAGAGTCATTAGATTCCACTTGCCCAATTCTAAGTTTTAAGGAATTATTTTCTTCAGTGAATTTTTGTACTTCCTTTTCCATTTCACCAAATCTATTTTTTTAGGGAGTTATTTTCTTTGGTGAATTTTTGTATATTTTTTTCCATGCTGTTGACTCTTTTTCATGATTCTCTTGCATTACTCTCATTTCTTTTCCCAATTTTTCTTCTACTTCTCTAATTTGCTTTTCAAAATCCTCTCAAAACTCTTCCAGGAGTTCTTTTGGGGCCTGAGACCAAATTATATTTTGCTTTGATGCTTCACATGTAGCCATTTTAACATTACTGTCCTCTTTTAAGTTTGTGCCTTGATGTTCCGTGTCACCATAGTAACTTTCTGTAATCAAGTTCTTTCTTTTTTTGTTGTTTCTTTCTTTTTTTTTTTTTGCTCATTTTTTTCTGCCTATTTTGTGCCATGGTATTTTTATGTGAATGTTGGGCTCTAGTTCTGCAATGTCCCAAGCTTCTTGTGCTGGTGCTCAGGGTTTTGCTGCTGGCTTTCACTAGACTTCAGAGTCTAACTTCTGGTTTGCATTGGAAACAGGGCCTTTCTGCTGGCTGGCATGGGGGAGGGATCTTATTGCTGGTCTGCCCCAGGGGTAGGACCTCACTATTGGTCAGCAATGGAAGTGGGTTCTCACTGGTGGATTGCCCCTGGCTCAGAACCTAACTGCAGACCCCCTATGAAGCTGACCATTGCTGCTGAGACCTAGTTCTCCTACCACCTCAGTGAGATAGACTTGCTGTACTGGCAAGCTGCTTCCCTGCTCCTAGACCGGTTCTGAGTCAGTTTTCAAGTTGTTTAGAGGGGAATTTTGGGAGGTTACAAGGAGTTCCTTCCTCACTCTCTTATCTTGTCACACCAGAAGTCCAATTGAAGGATTTTTAAGGAAGTGGGAGACTTGGCCCTGTTTGTAGGCCACTGGGATAGGATAGGATGTAGATAGAAAGAGGTTGAAGATTATAGTTAAGATGAGAGATGATTGTGATCTTTTCTGCTGGAAAGTTTGGGGTATATGCAATAAAGTGAGGGGTTGGCCTTGGTGAAAAGAAGGAGCCACCTCACCAAAGACCAGAGTAAAGGAGAAGAGCACTGAGGAACTGCATGATTTAAAGAGGAGAAGAAAGGAGCACATAACAAAAGGCCTCTATTTTCCCAGTAAAAAAAAAAATTCCAATAAAAATTGCAAGATAGGTAACTTCTAGTTGAGTGTATGAGTGAAAGAGAACCTCTCTTTTTCTTGTTTGTTTATCAGGTTGTCCTATTGCCTGGTTTTCCAAATCCCATCTCATATACCCATTTATTTTTGCAATGAGTCCCAGGGAAAATTGGGGCTCTGCTACAGACTTGTGTTTCACTTCCTATTGCCTTGGCAGCGGTAGGTGAAGAAAATTGTAGATTGAATGGCAACCATATACTCACCCAATAAGATTAAACCTAGTGAAAGTTAGAATTACTGTTTCTTCCATTTTCTTTACAAGAGAAATAGGCAGCAGGATAGAGGGGTTTTCTCAACTCAGACTCAGACTCTGGGCTCAGGGTTAGCAGGACACTCCAAGTCTCTGCCATCAGAGGCCTCAAGAGCAATAATAAGAGAGCTGCTTGAGATAAGGGGCTCTCATTTGCCTTTCTTTGTATCCCCAGTACTTAACACAATGTCTGGCACACAATAGATGCTTAATAAATGTTTATTGACTGACTAACAACCTGGACCCTGCTTTCTTCCTCAGATGGTTAAACAGCAAACACCTTCAATGCAGCAGAGGGTGATTGAGTACTTCCTATGTGTAATGTACTATGCAAGTTGCTCCAGGAAATGCAGAAACCATCTAGTCCCTCCCTTCATGGAGGGACTAATCTAGTGTCACAATTTAAATACTGTTTCAATCATTTTTGTTTCTTCTGTTCCAGTTCTCATATTTTGGTTTTGCTGATATCATTTTTCTGTTTTTCTCCCAAGTATAACCAGTTTTAATTCCCTTGTTTCATATTCACATAGAGGTTTCAATCCCATTACCTTTACCTTTCTCAATCCTATCTCTCCTGCCAAAGTTACCTACAAGGACAGATTAGTTCTCCACAGTTGGGTTTCTGAGTTATATGAAAGTAATTAAGCCTATTTCATTTGGTTCCTTAACACAGTTTCCAAGGTCTTTCTTCATTCTATAATCTTCTAGGAAATTCTTTCTCTCTAAATAATTAGAAGCAGCATTTCTTTCTTTGTTGTAAATTCCCTTACCCTGCAAAAAATTTCACTAGTAACCATCTACAGGAAATATATGCACTCAGATTAAATATATAGCCCAAATAAAATTTTATTTATCTGTTTTCTCTTTCTAGGCAGCAATAAGGAAAGAGTTAAATGAATTTAAAAGCACAGAAATGGAAGTCCATGAAGAGAGTCGACAGTTTACAAGGTGGGTTGATCAAACACTTTTTATCTTCAAGCCAGCTATTAAAAGTTTTGAAACCCTTTTTGCTTTTTCCCCAAACTCCAAGTTGAAGTCCCAGAAGTATTATTATTTTAGTAATCATTATAAATGAATTAATATGGCAGTTTGGGAGAGAAACCTGGATAAGTTTTATTTTAAAATGTCTTGTTTTTAAGAACATTAAAATGACTGCAATACATGTATAGTAATACTAAGATGTCTTCTTTTAGAAGAAACATGAATTATTTTAAAATAACATGATTTTGTTCCTTTTCCTCAGCTACTCATCTTAACTTTTTTTTTCTTTTAGTATCATTTCATGGGCTCTAGCCAGGGATCATGGCACAGAGGATTATCGGATCAGATTTGAAGTCAGGAAGACCTGTTCAAATCCTACGTTAGACACTTACTAGCTCTATGATCCTAGGGAGACCACTTAACCTTTCTGAGCCTCACTTTATTCATCTGTATAGTGGAGATAATAAAATAATCTACCTCATAAAGTGTCTGTGAGGATCAAATGAGCACAATTATGTATGTAATTAATTATGTAATTATACAAGATGCTTTGAAAACTTTGAAGTGCTATGTAAATATGAACTGCTATTATTATCATTGATATCACTTACTCATTTGTTATCCTGGTTCAGCTATAACCTGTTACCCAGGAAAGAAACTCTTCCTTACGAATACTTTGAAAACTTTGGGGATTATGGAAGCAAGCCATTGGCTTCTGGCATAGTTCAGCCATAATGAGACTTCAATTTTAGTGGCTCCTCAAAGAATTATTATAATCCTGCTCTTTTTCTTTTGGGCATCCAATACTATATAATTCAAATTTATAGCATTATAAACACACACATACATTCTGAAGATAGACACTCAACCTGTGATTTCACTGATATAGGGAACTCTGGGATAAGGAAATTCCTTGTACCATCACAAGTTGGCACCTTCTCTGCAATTTAACAGTCTTAGAGAGTTGCATAGAGTACTAGCAGGTTAAGTGATTTGTCCAGAGTCATATAGCCATTGTGGATCAGAGTAGGGCTTGAACCCAGGTCTTCCTGACTTGAAGGCCCACTTGTTATCCGTTACATCATGCCGCATTTACAAAATACATATATGCTTAGTTTTATCTAGCAGATTTATTCCTTAAAATTTGCATGTGTAGATTAAATTTGTGAATTAAATTATCCAAAATGAGTTATAGCTTGCTATTTCAAGAAATTCTCCCTCGAACATTGCTTTTGCAAACAACAATTGTTTGTAATGCGAACAATATCAAAATGTATCCATTTGTAGGTAGATTCAGATTTTCCTATAATATGATTCCGTATTCATAGATTATTCAACCTGGAAAGGGACCTTAAGTATTATCTAGTGTAGCCTCATTTTATACGGAAGAACCTGGGACCTGAAGAAGTTAAGTGACTTGCTAATGCAGTTAGTTAGGAGCCCTTAGACTGGAGCACTGATTCGTGCATTGGTGAGTCCCTATGTATGTGGCTGTACTTGAAGCCATTGTAAAGGTTCCATGTTCAATGTGAAACAAAGCTATAATTCAAGTCATTCTGTTATTTCTAGTAATAAACCCAAGGGAACAAGTTTCAGAACAACCATTTTATAGCAAGTTCTGCTTCACAGCTAATATTCTAATACATAACTTTTTATATTATTATGTCCCCTGTTAGTTTCCCTGCTAGAAACCAAGTACTAGCTGGTTTTTCCATCTCCCATGCACTTAAGCTCTCCTTCATGAGTTGTCTTCCCTAGTTAGAATGTGAGCTTCTTCAGATCAGGGACCATCTGATTTTCCATTTATATCTCTATATATCTCTAGCTCTTAGCATGGTACTTGGCACATAGTAAGTGCTTAATAAATATTTTTCCATCCCATCTATCTATAGACAGATGTGCCATGGAAAAAAATAGGGCTTCTTTCTACTATTCGTAATCTCTGAAAAATTGTGAAGAATGAGAGAGCCTTCCCAGGATTGGAGATGGGCAAATACTATTTTAATTTTCAGAAAATGGAAGATGAATTCTTTTTCAATTAAAGAATGATTATCTTGACTGTGATTCCTCAATAAAAGTGTGGAAGTTATTAATTATTAAAGGAAATTATTTGTGAGCACTGAGAAATGAAAGTACTAATTATGTTAGAGACAGGATGGTTTTGTTAAAAACAACTCATTCTAGATCAATTTTATTCATGTTTTTGAAAGGGTTACTGTACTAATAGATAAAGAAATGACATAGATTTAGCCTTCCTACGTTTCAGCAAAGCAGCTGCCAATTTTTGGTGCTTTCATTGTGGACAAGATGGAGAGATTTAAACTAGATGACAGTACAGTTAAGTGGTTTCAGAATTGTTTGAATGGACTTTTGTAAGTTTGAAAGAGCAGTCATTAATGAGTTTATGTCAGTTGGGAGGCAGTCTGTAGTGGAATACCTTAGGGATCAGCTATTAGTCCTGTGTAGATTAGTATTTTTATTAATGACTTGGATGGACAGATATATGGCATTCATGTCAGATTTGCAACCGAGATAGTTAACATGTTAAGAAGTCAATACCCAAAAATATACTGACCAGTTAGAATGATAGGCTAAATCTAAGAAGAAATATAACGGGAATAAATATAAGATTTGGTCAAAATAAAACATTTTACATATATTATGTCATCTGATCATCACAACAATGCTCTGAGATAGTTATAATTATCCCCATTTTGTATATGGGGGAACTGAGGCTCAGAATGGTTAAGTGATTTGTTAACGTAACCCAATTAGGCTTGGCAAGAACCAATGACTGAAATAACAGAATAGTGGTCAAGTGAAGTTGAAGAAAGGTTGTGAGAGATTAATTAGAGATGACAGAGTTCATAACTGCTGGCTTCAATTTTTTCCATAAAGTGTAGCCGGTGAGGTCATCTAGAAGAGGCCAGGAGTGATACTGGGGGCTTAAAGTAAATGAAGGTTTGGAATATCTGTTGTTTTTATCCATTGTGAACAAAATAGATAATATTAGATTTGGAGGAAGAGAAACTCAGTTTTGGCTATGAGAAAATTATTTACAATGTGATTTTAGGAATCTAATATTAAAGGTTAGCATTTAAAGTTTTTTAAAAAGAATTAGCTGCATAAGCATTTCATAAAGAGGTGTAGCAAGATAATAACAGTTCATATGAACAAGATCTCAGATTATATCAAAGTATAAGTTCAGTGTGAATCAGTAGCATGACCAATTAAGCTACCTCAGTCTTAGGCAACCATAAGAAAGATGGGTTGAGAGAGAGAGATAGAGAAAGAGAGAACAGCTGTAGTTAGTGATGGTTAAACCATTTCTGGAATATTGACTTCTGGATTCCACATTTTAGGAAGGACAATAATAACAAACATAATGATGAGGGAGCTGGAGACCATGTTCTACAAAGTTCAGTGAAAACAACTAGAGATGTTTAGAGTCAGGATGTAAAGAGAAGATGGAAGAAGACCAAGGGAGAATGTGATAGCTGTCTTCAAATATTCTGAAGAGCAGTCATATAGAAGAGGGATTAGGTTTGTTCTACTTGCCTCAAAAGAGCAGAACTAAGAGCAATAGGTCAAAGTTATGGCATAGGTTTGGCATAAGGGAAAATTGCCCAAAGCTTTGAGCTGTCCAAAAATGGAATAAGATGGGAAAGTGATTTCCATTCATTAGATGTCTTTTAGTAGAAGCCAGATAACCTCTTCTAAGGAATGTTATAGTAGGGATTTCTGTGCAAGTACATTCTAATTCTGAGAAACTTTGGGTTTGAACTCTGGTTCTGTCACTCATGCCCTGTGGGTGTTTAGACAATTCAGTAACTTCACCTCAGTTTCCCCATTTATAATATCGATGATGTTGAAGCAGGATCTCTAATCTTCAATAACTTAAAACTGCTCTAAGACTTTTAGAATACCCTATATATAGAAATGTGTATATTTTCAGTATGCTATCTTATTTTTCACTGTAGGACATGTGTTAGGCCCTAATTTGAACCCATTTAGTACCAATTCCTGTTCCCTCCCCTCATTCTTCCCTTCCTCCTCCCCATTTAAGGCAGGATGTGTCAAAAGTGAAATCTGGTCATTGTATTCATATGTATTCTATCATATTTGGCGTTTCTTGTATGCATGTTATAAAAAGTAAAGTATAATTTTAATAAACAACTAAATAAACATGCATACTCAATGATAAGTTTTCATTTTAATTAAGACCAATACAATAAACATTAAGCACCTACTCTAGAGATACAAAAAACAATCTCTACCATTAAGGAGCTTATTGTTCATTTAGCGGCTATAACATGCTGAGTGTTAAGTAAATACAAAGTAATTTGGGGAGTTCAAGGGTGCTAAAGACTGGAGGAATCAGGGAAAGCTACACAAGGGATTGTGAGAGGCAGAGATGAGGAGGAAGCGTGTTCCAATCATGGATCACAGTTTGTGCAAATACACAGAAAAAGGAGACAGCATGTCAGTGAGTGTATCCATCAAGATTTCAGCACTGAGGGGGCAACTAAGTGGTGCAGTGGACAGAGCACTGGCCTTGAGGTCAGGAGGCCCTGAGTTCAAATCCAGCTTCAGACACATAATACTTCCTAGTTGTATGACCCTGGGCAAGTCACTTAACCCCAATTGCCTATAAAAAAAATTTTCAGCACTGAGAATGTGTTTGGGGGGGGTATGCGTGTGTTAGAGAGAGACAGGATAGGATAGGGTAGGGTAGGATAGGATGGAGTAGGAGCAGGGATACAAGTGGAGGTGTTAGCCTTGGTCAGGTGAGAGATGGAAAAGGAGATGAAGGCATTCAGTACTACTGGTTTCAATTTTCACCATAATGTAGGCAATGAGGCAATTTCAAAAAAGACAAGAAGACAAAGTGGTATTGGGAGATAAAAGAATGAAGGTTTGGAATATCTGCTCTTTTCATATACTGTGAAAAAATATATTTAGAGGAA